TATATATATACATACATATTTTGGGCAAAGAATTATGACTCTTAAACTTTACTGTTTGCCCACTTTTACCCCTTATACCATCAACTGGACTTGTATTTCATTTGTTTCACATAACAAAGTTTTACATCACTTCTTAGTGTTTCTGTGTGTATGACTGTGAGTAAAAAAAAAAAAAGTTGTACGGTATGGTAGTTAAGGTTGTATGTTAACTTGGTTGGGCCTGGCTGAATGGCTGGGCAGCTAGATGTAGTTATTCCCCATGGTGAGACTGGTAATTAACTCCATGGTGGAATCTCCTGGAGCAGCTGAGTAGCTACTTTAGAAATGTGATCTGCTTCCAGTATATAAGGGGCAACTTTGAGGATGGTCTCTAGCTTATGGCATGCTTGAACCCTGCTGTAGCTGAGTCGTTGTTCAGCAGCCTGCCATGCTCTGCTCATCTTGGGACTTTCAGTGGGCTTGAATCAATGACCTGCCATGTTGTTTGGTAATATTGGGATTGTGCATTTTTACTTATTGACCTTGGGTTTGTCAGCCTCAGCAGCCAGCAGCTGCCTGAGTGAAGAAAAGCCTCCAGCTTCAGTGGGCCGGGAGCAGGAGGCAGAGCTGAAGCCCAAGGTTGAGGGGCTTTCACCCAGCCCCTAGAGCCTGGCACTTTGAATTCAGACTTCTAGCCTCCCAAACTGTGAGAGAATAAGCTCCTGTGTGTTAAAGCCATCCCATTTGTGGTATTTTCTATTATAGCAACACGGAGATAACCAATACATGCAATGATAGAGAAATGGGACCATTGCTTAGTTCACTCACTAGTTCAATGGCTTGATCCCCCAGCTCCACAATATGTGAAATTAACATCCACATCTAAGAAAAATTAGAATTATCACATGTCACAAGCACATGGTGTTACTCACCAGAGTTGAAGATCCAAATATTAAATACACATATACCTAAAGTTTGTTGTAAAAGGACTAACTGCAACTATCTCTTGATGTAAAACTAATAGATGAAGCAAATCTAGCAAAATGACATTTGTCAAATCTAGTCATGAGAATAGATAGTCATAGTATTCTCTATACTTTTTGATGTATTTAAAGTATAAAAATTAAACTAGGCAGAAAGATACAATACTGCTTATTATCAAGACTTCTGAATTTTGAACATTATTAATTTCAACTTCCTGATTCCAAAGACTTGTTTAAGTTCATATAATTTTCAAATCTTTTAGTTCTGATGGCCCTTTCAGTTAAGTAATTTTAAAAATTTTGTTCAATTGCTCTTGCCACAGACTTGCCTTATTACTAATATTTTTTTGTTGCTGTTGAGGTTTTTAAACTCTCTGATGTAGAACTGTTTGAAACGTTATCTTTTGAAATTAGAGAAATACAAATAGTACTGAGTCATATAATTGCTTCCTACTCATTCACCGTCTGCTTCTGTAGTTTTTTATTAGTTCTTTTTCCCCCTTCACTTTCTTTATTTTCATTAAAAGCAACCAGCAATTACTGTTTAGTTTGTAATTGTCATTTGGGTAAGAAAAGTACAGTGGACCCATGCTTCCATTTCTGGTTGATAAATTTCATTAATTTTATGTATAATGCTTCATTGTCATCATCTTGGGATTGTGCTGTAGGGAATGTACTATTATACGTTGCAAGAATAAAGTATCTGAATGTCCATTATCATCAAATTGGTTCTGACTCAAGGAGATACCATGCATGTCAGACTAGAACTGGGCTCCATAGGGATTTCAATGGCTGATTTTTCAAAAATAGATCTCCAGCCCTTCTGAGGTATCTTTGAGTGGAGCAGAACCACCAACCTTGCACCACTCAGGGACTTCAAATACTGTGTTTAGCTAGATAAGACCTGTGCAACCAAGGAGTTACTATTATAAATAAAGGTGTTTAAAATTCAGATGCAATGAATTTTCCTGTGAACCCGTTTGATGTCATCCCTGGACCTTCTTCAGTGGAGTTAGGATCCTTTGCAGACATAATCATATTTTTATTAAGGTCTTTTTGACCTACAGATATGACATATAATTTGAATTCTGGCATACCAGGCTTAACTATAAAGTAATGATGTCTATTTTCACAAGCCACATTAAAACTGATTTAATTATTTCATAGTTATTCCTCACACCTAGGAGATATTATTCACTAATACATAGTTGTTCTTTGTGACTTGCTTTATTCCAAACATTTAAAAAATCTATTTATATACTTCCATTTTGTCTTATTAATTAAAAGGCCAACTCCTTGGGAGCAGGAATACCATTGACCTCATCTGTTCTTCCATAATGATTTGCATGGTGGTTACAAGCAGATTCTCAAATTGCAGCTACATGACTTATAGCTGGGGTACCTTGGGCAAGGTACTTAAGTTCTCTACCACTTTATGTTCTCATTTGAAAAATGGGAATGTTAATTAGACTTTTTTTTTTTTTTATAAAATAGATTCTAAGACACACATTTTTTCACATTTTAGCATTTCTGAACTCAGTACACAGCTTATAATCAATCAAGTTTTATGAATCACCATGAACCTGAACTGACACTATCTTAAATGATTAAATCTCTCCTTGAGGGTTTTTTTTTTTTTGGTACTGTTCACGTGAATTCAGATGTCAGTCCTTCAGTGAGTAGCACCTTGTGGTTCAAATTCTCAGGGGAGTTTGTTTTCCCTAGTAGCAAAAGGAGCCTTGGTGGCAAAATGGTTACACACTGGACTGCTAACTGAAAAGTTGGCAGTTTGAACCCAGCAGTGGCTCTGTGGGAGAAAAGAGCACCTCTGATGGAGCAGTGGTTAAAGCATTCAGCTCCTGACCAAAAGGTCTGTGGTTCGAACCCATCAACCACTCCCAGAGAGAAAGATGTGTCAGTCTGCTTCCATAAAGATTTATAGCCTTGGAAACCCTATGGGGCAGTTCTACTCCTATTAGATTGCTATGACTCAGAATTGACTCAATGACAGTGGGTATAGTTTTGGTTTTATCTGCTCCAGTAAAAGTTAAATAAAACAATACCACCAAATCCATTGCCATCATCCAGTCAGTTTGAATCACAGCAGAACACTTAACCACTATGCCACCAGGTCTTCTTCCTAGAAAGCCCCATAGGACAGTTCTATAGCATTGCTATGAGTTGGAGTTGACTCAAGGCACAACAACTTAGTAGCAAGATTGGAACATGCAAGTTTTGTTTTATCTTTTCCTTCATGGTTGGTTTATTTCATGTTTACCTTTACAAGGAGGGTGTAGCCCATTGGTGACCTAGTTTTATGTGAGAATTTCTTCTTAAACTCCCCATCTTGAGCAATTTTTCCCTTTCTCAATTAGTATGTAAAATAGTGGAGCAATCTTACTATTAATGATGCTTTAGATTCAGTGAAATCAAGCCTGTCTTTAAGAGTCACTATCAACAGGAATGAAGTTTTGTGCCTGGCACACACTGAGCATTCAATATATGGTAGCTATTGTTTCATACTTTTGTTGCCCTTGTTCTGCCTTGCCCCATGCTGTTGCACTTGTTTTACTCGTCTGTATTCCACTCTGCAATAAACCACTCCCAAACAGTTTTTTTCATCTTTGGATTTCTCCCAGTGTCCTCAGAGCCTAGAGTCACTTGGTAGATTGGCCACAAAGTGAATTGAATTGAGTGAGTGAAATGAATTCTGGTCTGATCTTTGTTTTTAACTAGCTTTCTGACCATAGCAAGCCACATTACCCCCTCCCACTCTCCAGGTATTAGTTTCTTCATCTTTAGAAAGAGCAAGTTGAATCATTAATCTTTAAAGTCCCTTTCACGTCTGTAAATTTATTTTGAAATGAATTTTTATTTTCAGATTTACAGAAAAGTTCCAGTGATAGTGCAGAATTCCTTTCATCCATTTTTTCCTAATTTTAACAGCTTTAGTTACCTTAAATTTGTCAAAAGTAATGTCCTGTTTCTGTTCTGGGGTCCAATTTAGGAGACCACATTACATTTAGTAAAAATCTTAAGATTAAGATGTTACACTACTTTATGCATGTTTAGAGTTTTGAATATTATAGAACATTGCTCATTAAAACTATGAACATATACTTCACTTGTATATTTTAATTCTAGGTTTCCATGGCACATGGAATACAAAATTTGATTAATGCCATCAGAATGATTCACGGTGTGTCAAGGTATTATAACACCTCAGAGAGAATGACCTCGCTGTTTATCAAGGTAGGTTTTCAAGGGAAGAAATCACACACATATTCCTGTGAAAAAATTGACAGTTCTTTCCCTCTGAGCCAGAGAAGGGAATTGGCAAGTAAGGTCTACTCAGACCTCTGAATTTTAAATCTTCCAGCATACAAGAAAAGAAAGGTGTTGAGTGGAGTCACTTTTACTTAATCATCAAGGCTTCTTTTTTAAATGCAGCTGGTGGTTTTCTAATTTATTCATTCCAAACAGTTTTGATTCTGCTTAAGAGACAGGGATTGTGCCCTTGATTAACAACGCTTCATTAGTTATCCCACCAGCACTGTAGTTTATGTAAATTCTTCCCATTTTTGCCCTACAGTTAATTATTTTAAATCATTTAAGAAATTACCCGAAAAACACATGAATATATTTCTTTTGTAAATCATTGAAACAGTACATAAATATATGTATGTGTATATTTCAATTCTTTTAAAAAATCAAAATATAGATTTAATCGGTATCTATGACCAACAAGACAAAACCTCAGAATTCTTACCTTTCACTTGTCTTCTTCCTTCTTGTTATATAAATTCCACGTTGAAATAGTTTTTATTTCTTTATTGCTGTCAACATTTTCAACATTATGCATGAGCCAGTATTCAGACTAGAATCTAGGCATTACTAGTTTTTTTTTTTTTTTTTAATCACAACTCTTTTGTGATTTATCTTCCTTTTTCTTCTTCTTCTTCTTTTTTTTTTTTTTAATTTTTATTGTGATTTGGGTGAAAGTTTACAGAGCAAATTCATTTTCCATAGAGCAGTTCATACACATTTTGTTTCGTGACATTGACTGCAATTCCCCACAATGTAACAACTCTCTTCCCATTTCTTCCCTATAGTTACCTCTTCCCTGTGTCCTTCCCTCCCATGCACTCCTGCCCCCACCCCCCAGCTGTCTCCCTATGCAAACACTGCCCTTCTATTCTCCGCTGATTGATCACTCCATGGAGTGTATCTACCTGATGTAAATGTTCACCTCATATTCGTGTCCATTGTTTGACTGGAAGGCCCAGGAATGAGTTCAATTCCAGACCTAACGGTGGCTAGGGGCCATAGTCTCAGTGGTCTCACCAGGCTGGTTTTTTTTATGATTTTGAGTTTTGTTCCACATTGTTCTCCCGCTCTATCTGGGATCTTCTGCACCAATCCCCCTCATCTTCCTTCTTCTTGGATTCACCTTTTCTTTTGCTGAAAAAAATATCTACAATATTTTTATGCCTGTGATTAAAAGAAAAAATCTTAAATTTTAGTTTTCTTTTACTTTGGTTATTTGAACTTAAATTTATTTTAGGTCACAAATCAAATGGTGACAGCATGTAAAGCATATATTACTGATGGAGGATTAAGTCACGTATGGGATCAGGAAACACCAGTTGTGCTAAAGAAAATTCAGGTTTGTATAAAGAAAGCTTTTACTATCTGGCCTAATTTTGTTTTCTTCATTCATTTACAAAGCACCTGTTAACACTGAAAAGACATCGTACAGAGTAATGTGAGAATATAAGAGGAACTTCATTAAAAGTCTGTTTTCTTTATATTTAGTGCTTCTTTTTAGGAAATAATTTAACCTTCATCTTCTCCATGACTGTGTGTATTAGACATCTCTTATGTGCCATTTCATGTACTCTGGGTCTCACCTCTTGTTCCAGACACTCTTTGTTTTATTTTCTTGCTTTTTCACATTGGATAAGAATGTCATCCATTGTTAAATAGAAGTGGTGCTATTGCCATCCTGATTTTGATTCTACTTTGTAAGAGAATGTTTCTAACATTTCTCCATTTAGTCTTTGGTAGGTTTAATATATATCTTTGGTCAGATTAAGGTAGCGCTATTCCTAATTTTGGTTCTTTGATTTTAAAAAATAATCGTGATGGGATGAGAGAATTTTTTTCTGCACATATTTATTGAGATGCTTATAAGATTTTTCGTTTCAACCTGTAATGTGATAGACGGCATTTTCAGTTTTTCTAAAATGCCCCTGGGAATAAATCAATTTGGTCATGCTGTAAATATCTTGTTTTAAACATTCTTAACTTCATTTTGCATTGCACAAATCTGCTGCAGAAACCTCTTTAAAATGTTAAAAAGCAAAGATGTCATTTCAGGACTAAGGTAAGCCTGTCCCAAGCCATGGTATATATATATTTTAATTTAATTTATTATTATTTATTGTGATTGGGGTGAAAGTTTACTGAGAAAATCACTTTCTATACAGCAGTTCACATACAATTTGTCTCATAACATTGACCACAGTTTACCCCAATGCAACACCTCCCCTCCCACTTCCTCCCGATAGTTACCTCTTCCCTGTATCCATCCCTCCATGCACTCCTGCTCCCTGAGCTGTCTCCCTGTGCATAAACAGCCCTTCTTTCTCCCATGATTATTCTCTCCAAGGAGTGTATCTACCTCAGGTAAGTGTTCAACTCATATGCCTGTCTTTTGTTTGGCTGGAAGCCGCAGGTGTGGATTCAATTCTAGCCTGAAGGGCAGCTAGGGGCCCACGCCATAGTACTTTTAATCACCTTACACACATGTGAGCTCTTGTGGCATAGTGCCTAAGGCATTTGACTGCTAACCAGAAAGCTGGTGGATTTCCACCAGCCACTCCTTGGAAGGAAAACTGGGCAATCTACTTCCATAGAGATACCGCCTTGGAAACCCAAGGAGGGGTCGCTATGAGTTGGGATCGACTCAACGCTAGTGAGTTTTTTTTTTTTTAGTTCATATGCATACGAAAGTTGGACAATGAATAAGGAAGACCACAGAGCAATTGATGACTGTGAATGTTGGTGTTGGCAAAGAATATTGAATATACCATGAACTGCCAGAAGAATGAGCAAATCTTTCTTGAAAGAAGTACACTTAGAATGATTCTTAGAAGTAAGGGTAGCGACACTTTGTCCCACATACTTTGCACATGTTATCAGGAGGGACCAATTGCTGGAGAAGGATACCATGCTTGGTAAAGTAGAGGGACAGAGAAAAAGAGGAAGACCCTTAACGAGATGGATTGAGAAAGTGGCAGCAACTGTGGGCTCAAACATACCTACTATTGTGAGGATAGCACAGGACTGAACAACATTTCATTCTGTGCAGAACTGACTTGACAGCATCTAACAATAACAACAAAAACAACAACTTCATTTCACTACAATTTTGTTTGAGATTTTTCATGTGGGAGATAGGCCTGTAATTTTCCTTTCTCATATTGTGTTTTTGGCTCTAAGACCTCAGAATAAGTGGAGGGATTATTTCCCCTTTTTCTGTTCTCTGCCAAAGTGTGTGTAAGATTAAACTCTGAAAACTCATCTGGTAAGCCACCTAGGCCTGGCATTTGCTTTGTGTCAAGAGTTCAGAATTACTTCTTCTTCTTTTTTTTTAGAGTAGTTATTTGTTCTCTCAATTTCACATTAAGTCAGTTTTTGTGAGTTTATGTTTTTGAGGAATTTCTCTAATTTGCCTAAAATGTATAATTTATTGTCATAATATTGATGTATTCTCTTAATAATCTTTTTATGTAATATGTCCCTTATCCATTAATGATATTATTTATCATCTCTCTCTTTGTTCTTTTAACCACTCTTGTCCACCCCCAGGTTCAAAACAACCCATAATCTTCCCGGGAGTTTCTCATTTACTGGATTCCATGTTTCCTTCCATGGTTTATTTCTCCAGGACTAATTTTGCAGAAGTCAGAAATCCCTCCCCAAAATTTACCAATTGGCAGGAATCAGAACCCTTTACATAGTGTAGTGCCTAAGGCACTTGACTGCTAACCAGAAGGCTGGCAGTTCAAACCCACCAGCCACTCCTCGGAAGGAAAGTTGGGTTGGGCAATCTACTTCCGTAGTGACACCAACTCGGAAAACCAAGGAGGGGTTGCTATCAGTCAAGTGGACTTGATGGCACATAACAACAACAACATTCCTGCAGTTATAATCATGTTTGGGAATGGGTTGTCTTTGTTATGTTAATGTTGTTGTTAGGTGCTTTTGGGTCATTTTGACTCATAGCAACCTTATGCAAAGTAGAAGCAAACATTGCCTGGTCCTTCGCCAGCTCCACGATCCTTGCTATACTTGAGCCCACAGCCAAAGCCAGTGTGTCAATCCATCTCATTGAGGGCCTTCCCCTCTTTCGTCGACCTTCCACCTTACCAAGCATGACATCCTTCTCCAGGGAATGGTCCCTTCTGACAACATGACAAAAGTAGGTGAGATGAAGTCTGGCCATTCTGGCTTCCAAGGAGCATTCCGGCTGCACTTCTTCCAGGACAGATTTGTTAGTTCTTTTAGCAGTCCATGGTACTTTCAGCATTCTTCGCCAGCACCGCAACTCAAAAGCATCAACTTTTCTTCGGTCTTCCTTATTCATTGTCCAGCTCTTATATTCATATGAGGCGATTGAAAATATCATGGCTTGTGTCAGGCACATCATAGTCCTCAAAGAGATATCTTTGCTCTTCTGCACTTGAAAGAGGTCTTTTGCAGCCTAGTTGCCCAGTGCTATACATTGTCTGATGCCCTGACTGCTTCCATTGGCATTGATTGTAGAATCAAGCAATGTGAAGTCTTTGACAACTTCAATCTTTTCTCCATTTATCATGATGCTACTTATAGATCCAGTTGTGAGGATTATTTTTTTTATATTGAGATGTAATCCATGCTGTAGACTGTAGTCTTCAGTCTTCATTAGTAAGTTCTTCAAGTCATCCTCACTTTCAGCAAGCAAAGTTGTGTCATCAGCGTATTGCAGGTTGTTAATGATTGTTCCTCCAATCCTGATGCCATGTTCTTCTTCATATAGTCCAACTTCTCAGATTATTTGCTAAGCATATAGATTGAATAAGTATGGTGAAAGGATACAACCCTGACGCACTCCCTTCTTGATTTTAAACCATGCAGTGTCCCCTTGTTCCGTTTGAACAACAGCCTCCTGGTCTATGTACAGGTTCCTTCTGAGTACAATGAAGTATTCTGGAATTCCCATTCTTCTCAATGTTACCCATAATTTGTTATGATCCACACAATCAAATACTTTTGCATAGTCAATAAAACACAAGTGAACATCTTTCTGGTGTTCTTTGCTTTGAGCCAAAATCCATCTGACATCAGCAATGATATCCCTTGTTCCACGTCCTCTTCTGAATCCAGCTTGAATTTCTGGAAGTTCTCTGTCAACATACTGCTGCAACCATTTTTGAATTATCTTCAATAAGATTTTACTTGCATGTGATATCAATATTGTTTGATAATTTCCACACTTTGTGGGATCGCCTTTCTTTGGAATAGGTACAAATATAGATCTCTTCCAGGCGGTTGGCCAGATAGCTGTCTTCCAAATCTCTTGGCATAGCCAAGTGAGTGCCCCCAGTGGGACATCCGTTTGTTGAAACATCTCAATGGATATTCCATCAATTCCTGTTGCTTTGTTCTTCGCCAATTCCTTCAGTGCAGCTTTGACTTCTCCCTTCAGTACCACTGGTTCTTGATCATATGCCACCTCCTGAAATCGACCACTTCTTTTTGGTACAGTGACTCTATGTATTCCTTCCATCTTCTTTTGATGCTTCCTGCATCATTCAATATTTTGCCCATAGAATCTTTCAGTACTGCAACTCGAGGCTTAAATTTTTCCTCAGTTCTTTCAGCTTGAGAAATGCTGAGCATGTTTTTCCCTTTTGATGTTCTAACTCCAGGTCTTGCACATTTCATTATAGTAATTGGCTTTATCTGCTTGAGCTGCTCTGTGAAATCTTCTGTTCAGCTCTTTTATCTTGTCAGTTCTTCTATCTGCTTTAGCTACTCTCTGCTCAAGGGCAAGCTTTAGAGTCTCATCTCTTATCCATTTTGGTCTTTTCCTTTTTTCTTATATTTTTAATCACCTCTTGCTTTCTTCATGGATGATGTTCTTGATGTCACCCCATAATTCTAGTTTTCAGTCATTGGTGTTCAATGCATCAAATCTATTCTTCAGATGGTCTCTAAATTCAGGAGGGATATATTCTAGGTCATATTTTGGCTCTTGTGGACTTGTTTTAAATTGTCTTCAACTTCAAGTTGAACTTGCCTGTGAGCAGTTGATGGTTGGTTCCACAATCAGTTCCTGGCCTTGTTTTGGCTGAGGATATTGAGCTTTTCCATTGCCTCTTACCACATGTAGTCAATCTGATTCCTGAGTATTCCATCTGGCGAAATCCACGTGCACAGCCACCGTTTGTGTTGTTGAAAAAAGGTATTTGCAATGAATAAGTCTTTGGTCTTGCAAAATTCTATCATGTGATCTCCAGCATTATTTCTGTCACCAAGGCCAAATTTTCTGACTACCACTGATGCTTCTTTGTTTCCAGCTTTTGCATTCCAGTCACCCCTGATGATCAGCACTTCTTG